TCCCCATAAATAAGCTTTACAATAAGTTACAATGACTTCTTGTTAAGGAGATGCATGGATTTATACTAAATCCCGCAGATGTGTGACATGATAAATTATTAAAACAAACTGGCATCTCCATGTACACACTTGCATTTGCAGTCAAAAGGGCTTCCCCTCTTTCAGAGCCTGTGCCAAGCCCACTGCAGTGGAGAAGGCTGACTTCTGCGTGTTTTGGCTCTAACCTGTGGTAGGACTGCACTCCTCTCCCTCATTCACACACCACTTGATCTTCTTGACTGGCTCCCTTAAATCTATGAAGTAATCAACAGTAATAGTATAGCTAAAAGCTAATACCTGAATGCTACAGGTGATATAACATGCTCCTCAATGTTAAAATGTCTTTAAAAATTGCCCTACCATTTCTCCATTTTCCTCAATGGATCGATCCCTTGTAAGGTCTCCAACTTTACTTTCAGAAGTCTCTTCAGGTTTAACTTTGCTCTGATTTTATAAAATGCCTAGCACAAAATAAGGAGATTCTCAAGCCTATGTCTTCTCCCCCTATTATCAGCGGGAGAAGAAGGAGGATCTCCATGTTCATTAAGTTATGTATTTGCACAGGTTTGATTTAAGTAGGAGGTAAAGTCGGAGAAGGAAAATATTAGAACATAATTAGCCAGTGTTCCATGGAACATGGAATTTGTAAATTTTGTGAGACAAATAAAGTGTTGGATGTACAAGTGTTTTGAGTAGTAATAATGTTGATCAAACATTACACAATAATGACCTCTTGCTAAAACATAATTATTTGTTTTTAATTTAGGAAGAACTAATATTTACTGCATGTCATCATTCGTTTTGCTGTGATGAACCTCAAACTTTGGACGTTCATGAGCAAAGCTAGCAAAAAAAGCAACAATAATTTTTGGGTATTTATTTTATAAAACAGAAACTCCCTGATAATTTTAGATTTTTCCCCTTAGGATTGCCAGCAACAAAAACCTTTTTCTTGTCTCTGTATATAACAGAGTGTTTAAAATCATAGTCCAGATTTCACATAGCAGGGAATCTGCCAGCTTTAATATCGTTCTTAAATTTTGTGTGCACACATGTACATAAAAATGTTAAAAATTTGAAGAGCTTGCTTTGAAATAATTTCAATTACTTTTCAAGTAGCAGATGTGATATAAAACATACAATTATCATAACATGTCCTGCATTTGTTGATTTATGATTTTTATAGTTTTCATTTTTTAAAATAAATTTTTAAAAAGGAGTTGTCTTCCACAATCTATGCCATGACTTAGTATTCATACACTATATCCACACACAGATAAAATAAGAAATAATACGTATCCATTATACAAGCAGGACTTTTTTTTTCTTACCATGCAGCCTCTCTAGAATTCCTTAATTGAAGCAGATAAAATTAGATTAAAAAAATGGGCATGCATACTTGCCTTCGTCAAACTGCCTACGTTCCATGCATAGTTATGATTAAAACCCAATTTCAAAGGAACATGCTTTCTTTTTTTTTTTTTTTCTGGAATTAGCACAAGTTATACATGGTAGCTCAGATTTTATATTGATTTATATCTTACACCAACCATATGCAAGAGCTGAATATATATTTTAGTGCCTGTTTTCCTTTACTTTCCTCTGATTCCATTACAATCTTGATCTCTTGCCACCTTTATATAAAACACATGATACTGTAGACAGCAGCGGGTCATACGGAATAGGTTAAGAGGAGAAAAGACTGCAACCAAACATAAATCCTTCTCACTCATTCTTCAGCTGAGTATTTTGAGAAGCCATTTCATATAATTATAGCTACTTGTCTTTCAGTCAGTTTAAAGATCATGAAAATCCCCATGCTACGGTAAATCTTACTGCAGAGTTCTTCAGTGGGAACCATAGAAAGTTTTCCTTGATTTTCTTGATTTTTACATATTCTGAATGAAAATGATCACACATATGAAAAGAGAGATATTTTAGGAGAGAGATGTTTGAACATTATGAGAACATTTCCCATGCTTTATTTTTGAATCCTGATGGACTTGATTCAAACTCAGAGATACATTACCCAACAGCTTTTCATCCAGAATTAAAACTCTACTGAAAGAGAAGGGAATTAAAAAACTCGCATTTAAATTTATGGAAAATAAAGAAATTGCATTAAGGGGTTTTATGACAGCTGTTTCATAATATATTTTTATAGTGAGTAAAACAAAAGCACACAGATAATTAGATAGATAATTAATATATAGGTTAATTAATAGATATTTGAGTATATCAGTAGCTCAGTAATTTCAAACTCCAAAGTCTTTACCAGTTTTTAAGCACAGTCATTTGATTGGAAAAAAAAGAGGCAAGCTGAAGACGTGTGCCTATCAATGAAAGGAAAGAACAGTTTTCTTGCAAGTTGGAAAGGTTTCATATTCTTCCAATTACCATGGCATAGGAAACAACCAAAAGAGACCCCCAGCTACACAGGGGTCTTGGTCTCATGCTTTTATATTAGGAGAGCCAGTTATACCTATATTTTGACACAAATCAGTCTAACCTTCAAAAGCAACACACTGTCACTCATGAGGAGAAGTGGTATCACCAGATGGTACAGCAACCTCAAGCTGGCAAGTGTCAGTTACTGGTACTCACGCTTGTGTGTGAGAAGCAGCATCATGCACAGTATGTAACCACAGCCCACTGTGCCAGCTTCTGCCAGGAGAGCTGTTTGCTCCTTTTCCAGCACATGCTGGGTCTTTCCTACGTGACAGGTCACCATGGCTCCCCGCAGAGAAATCCCCAAACCATAGCAGAATGCTCATGTGGTTTCCAGCAGGTTCATATGTTTTGTCAGGTAAAGAGAAGCATGCCAAGTTCAGCCCCACCTCCATCCCTTAGCAATTTACACTTCTCCTTGGTTTCTGTAACCAAAAAGCAAATGCAATCGCTCGTGCAAAAGCAACACGGCGCAGATGCAGCAGCAGGCAGCTGTGCAGGAGGGAGGATAAAGGGTCTGTGATAAACACAGGGCACAGCCACAAGCCAGGCTGGGCACAAACCACTCCCATACCCGCTCTGCAGGAAATGCATGCGCGCACAAAGTGCTCAGACCATGCTCCCCCCTATCCTCCAGCCACCTTGTCAGCAGTGACAGACTGTGACTGCTGGGACTATTGCTCCCTGCCACTGTGCCACCTGCTCACATTAGACCTGATACACCAAGGTTTGTAACCATGATTTCCAGTACTCACACTCTGCATTACAGAGGTGTCTCAGGCTCCATTAGTCTCCCCTACCACTGTACACTGATCCTTCTGGTGGATTGGAAAGGTTTTCCAGTTCTTCACTGACATAAAAATTGAAGGACAACTAAATCCTGCTAAGCAAATATGAAACTCTACTTGGTTTTGTGGAGAAGAGCTAATGGCAGGCTACAGCTCACAAATTTTGTTGTTACATTGCTTTGTTGTGTTTGTGTGATCTTGCCCAGCATCTTAAGGCCATAACAGTAGGCTTGAGACAGCTGCAGCCAACTTCCTTTCTTAATTGTTGTGCTGGGGTTATCTCAAAATATTTTTCAGCTGTACGTTGTGTCATAGCATTGAAACATTTGAAAACTGCAGATTTAATAAAACCACACACCACTAGCCAAAAACAGGAGAACGTGATTTGGGAATGATGTTAAGCTGTGTGGTGTGATGTCCAAAATGTTACACCAAGACGTTGAAAAAGGCAAGTTTTACAGTTACTTATTTTATGTCTTTTGAAACGATAATCAAAAGCACTCTAGAAAAAACTCCAATTTTTCATTTTATGGTCAATGTCAATCAAATTAATCACTTGAATGGTGCATTCAGTAACATTCTAGTGTTTCTTAAGGAAAATATTGAATCACAGCACCAACATTTCATAAGAAAATGGGGGGTTAAGAGGTAATTTTCACAGAAAATCTTTTACATTAAAGTGCCTAACCCACCTGCTGCTATACATCTAGAATGGCACAGCAAAAGCAAGAGGAGAAACAGCAGCAGAATTTCATCTCCCTGCCTGGGTGTCCTCCTGGCTGGTTATGAGAAAACGTCACCGAGAAAAGCTCCTCGGAGCTTCCGCTGGTACAGACCCACTGCTCTACAAAAGGGGCGCAGCCTGTGAGACTGCCACCATGCTGGCTGCTCATTTCCTGCGTGCTCCGGGTGTGCTGCAGACCACCCACCCACCTCTTTGAGGATTTCTATGGCTTGCCTCACTGTACAAGAGATTACTTCCCTAACATCACTGGCACTAGCAGTTACCAGCAATGTGACTTTAGCATCAGTCTCTCTATTTTGAAGCCTGATACTCTTCTGCTAGGAGATTATTTCACACTGCTTTGGCACAGTAAAATGACCTTACAATGGGATTAAATTACAGTAATTTACAGCCATGTTGCCCTGCTGATGGCCTATGAATCTTGCTACTCATGAAAATCAAACCCATTTTAAATTTAATTCTTTGCTCTGGAACTTAGTAAGTACAGATTACTTATAAAAACGCTGACTCTCTATAATTACAAACCTACAGATTTTCCTGGTTTGCAGCACCTAATCTGGGGAATGTAAAACTTGGCATTATGCCTCACTAAGGCCTACTCTCTAAACTTAGCAGGAAGCAAGTGCACATGTGTCTTTTTGACCCTGCAGTTACTGCCCAAATCTCAAACATGGTATTCACATGAAGTCTGTACCCACTTTCTCTGCTGGATTTGACTCCATTTGTATGATAGATCTTCAGACCAGTCTCAGAAAAACTACATCAATCCCCATTCTAAAGTCAAGTAAGTACACACATATGGTCCTTCCTGCTGGAAAACCACATACACACCACACACTGACATAAATGGTGGGGTTGAAAATGTGGAATATGAAGCAGCACAATATAAAGCACAATCCCACCTTATTCCAACAGCAACAGACACCAAAATTTCCTGACAGATATGCCTGTTAACAAGTAACTTATCTCATTTACCCTACCTTTTTCTTCTGCAAGTATTTTATTCAGGATAAATCCCACGTTAAAGCTGGCTTCTGCCAGATGCCACAGCTCAACTCCTGCCCCATCCAAAGGTGGAAACACAGCTGAAAGGAGAAGTTAGAAAATCTTAAATCCACATTCAGATTTTTTGTGGGGACTTTTGTCAGAGAGATGGTTCCAGCCTCAGTGTGCTTTATCCTCATTCACCTTTCAGATTAACTGCATCTCATTGGCAATGTGACAAGACCATTCCATCACACTAGAGCATCAGAAGATGCAGGGTTTGTGAGGAGAATCTGGACATGGGTGTGCACAGAAGTGCACACATGCACATACACACATACTGCTCTGTAAGGGGACTCCACACCCTAAGCATGTCACAGTTCGATTAGAAAGCAGAGAAGCCATGGGAGTGACCTGAACACAGAGTTACAGACGTGGCCATTTAGATGGAAATCTTCCATCTCAAAAGGTGGCACAGGCATTTGTTAGACCCAGCAGGGCCAGGCAGCTGCTGGACCCAGAGCCAGCCACAGATATGCTGTGTCAAATTAAAAATACTTTGACTCTCGCTCCAGTACTAGGAATGTGTTTCTCAAATTCTCACAATAAAATCTTCACCTAAATTTGTTTGGAAATATTTAAGATGAATCAGAATAGTTTCCTCACGAGCATAATGTAATTCACAAATGGGGAAAAAGACCATAATTTGAAATGTTGCAGATTTATACATGCCTATCACTCCTGCGTTCATAGTTCATACAACAGAAAAGAGCGTCAGAACCACTCCACCATCTTGAGACTAACTCCCATTTTTTCTTTTTTCTTATATCAGTTAACACAGAAGAAACTTTTCACACCTCTTTTTCTACTTTATATAAGGCCTTTTACACCAAGGTAGGAAAAAACTCTGGAACAAATGAAAATACAGAAAATGCAAGATGTAGGCCAGTGTGTAATCGTATATCTCAACACCAAGCATTTAACAGATGGTATTTAGCAGAAAAGTAAAACTGATTATGTGAACCAATTTCACAAACTTATTAATAAAAGTAATTAACAAAAGTAAACCAAAATATATCGAATTTGATTCAGAATATCAATTCACATTAAGACTCCTAGGAAAAAAAATGCAATGAACTCACCAGAGGCAGGAAGCTGAAACAGGCTGTTGAAAATAAATGCTAAAGAAGTCAATTATCCTAGACAAGACAAAGGAAGAAAAAAAGAAGAGCTGTGTTCTGTGTTCCTGGCTTTTTCAGATAGACTTCTTTTTCAGCACATTAGAACAATTATATAATTGAGAACACAAAAAATCCAAAAGCTGTAAAGGTAACCAGAGACAGCTGCACATACAGGCCAAAGCAGTCCTGGCAACTGGGTCTAGTTCATCTGGAGGCAGCAGTCACAGCAGACCCAGACGCGGTGTGACGAGAAGCGGTGGAGAGGTTTAGCGTAAGTCAGCTTTCTGGGGAGAGCTTCACAGCTCTGCCTCTGTGGGTTTGTTGTGGGCTGGTGTATCTTTCTCTCTTTGGTGACTATGGGAGCAGATGTAAAAACCTTGTCGGTGGGGGAGGGAGGCAAACCCTCCAGGCTGCAGAAAGCTTTCTCTTTGTACTCTGCTGCTCCTACAGCTGCCTCCTCCCCGCTACAGGGGCTAATGTCACAGCACAACAAGTCAAGGAGAAAAGGTGCAGATCCACAACTGCCCGGCATGGCTACGTGTAATTCACGCTCCGGTAGCAGAATGACATTTGGGATTTTTCTGCAACCTGGAATACGGCCCTGCCTGGAATATGGCCCTGCCTTTACAGAGAAGAGTGTGCATGTTTAACTGACTTTGTGCAAAAATGCAAGGCAGGCACTTTGGGCTGATTCAGCATTGGTGTACACGGCTTTGTTGTAATTCAGTGAGGATCCCTCTGAAGTTCTGGTCAAAACTGATCAGTAGTATCATTTTATCAGCATATATGTCCTCTCTTTTACCAGCACAATGAGGCTGAGCAGGTGGAGGCACCACAGACATTGAGACTCTCACCTTTCTCAGCACAGACAAATTGAGCTGGCCAGATCCCACAACACTGAAAGCAAAACTGTGATGGTAGGTTCAGGATTTCAAGTGTCTATGGTCTATACTTCAGGATCCATCAGTACAAGAGGTTGTCCACTTTGTATGATCAGACTGCAGGGAGGGCACTCCTGTCGCATTCTCCTGAAGCAGCCCAAGTGCACTGGCACAGCAGGAGAGCTGCCCCTGAGCTGAAGGCAAAGAGCCTGGATGACCAGTGTGGTGGAATGTCTGGTCCTCAGGCAGAGGCACGAGCACTGGCTTCCCAAGCAGCCTTGAAACCCAGAGGTACAGAGTGGAAAGCAAGTCCTTTTCAGCAAGTATTTTGGGCTCAGTGAAATTATCTCTAACCACGTCTAACCAAGAAGCAGTAGCAACAGACTGCCTGATCCAGATCTATTGCCATGCATTTTATGTTCATTGCAGGATGGAAACTTTCTGAAGACAGCTAATGAATTGGTCCACATTAACATTATGACTGTACAATGCATTCCAAGATAAAGTCACACTGGTTCCAAGAAAGATTAAAAACCAACTGAATAATTTACAAGATAAAGCAAATAGGAAACAAAAAGACAATTTATGTGTAGAAGAAAGGCAGCTTGTGCCAAAAATATAAAAAGAATATAGCCTATGTAAACATGCTGTAAACCTGCTAATGCAAAGCTTGTAGAGCAGTGCTGCACAGTTAGGCTGGCAAATCAATTTGTTTCTTTTCCCTACAAAATGAAATTAATTCAGTTGATTATCAAAAGCGATGAAGTTAAGGAAGGCTAACAGAAGGCATTTTGGGAATACTATCTTCTTAAAATCTTCAATCTTCCTCTTAGTTTGAGACAAGATTTTTAATAAGGGGCTTTTGCGCTTCACCAGTTTATGTGAGAACTTGTGTTTCTTCATTTTCACATTAAGCATCTATTCATCTGTTTTTAACTGGGTTTGGGTTTCCCAATACCAGCATAAGCAATCAGGCAGTAAGTTTCCATTGCAATTGTGATAAAGCAAATCAGACACCCAAACATGTTGAAATGTTTCCATCAGAACTATTCAGAACTGTCAGAAGTAGAGAAATAAATACTATTTGCAAATTATACTGATATAAATGTCTTTGGTGATCATCACCAATTTTAGGTCTGGTACAGAGAGCAGATATTTAAAAATGCAACTACTCTTCTCTGTTTCATGCTGAGATTAATCCAGATGTGAAGCCATCTGGCTAAGTAGTTTGCATTTGGGAAAGAGTGCATCCATCTGTAAAATACTTCATAAACAACTTTTGAACTGAGTGAACTCAGCAAAGAAAAAAAACTGTAGAGTAACAGACATGCTGTAACACGTCTTGATTTCCACCATTTCCCTCCACTACATTTCCTGAATTATCTTGACCCAATAATTTCCCAAAAATAGTTTATTTATTTGAGACCTTTCCCAGTAATACAAGTGCTTCATGCATTTGATCCATTATTTCACTTCTAAAAGACCTGGAACTCCAACAAAAGACCCTCAGCTCCATGCATATGTAGGTAATTCCAAAGTTAGATGCAAAATTGACATCTGACCTGTTTCTCTTGATCCTTGGTTGTTTGTTGGATTGGCTTTTGGGAGTTTTTTGTCTTTCTTACTGCAGTTTTTCTGCTCCTTTCCACCTCTTCATGCTGTGCAATGAAGCAGAACATCTGGCTGTGAGAAAATAGTGAATACATTAAAAATACATTGCTTCTCCTTTTTAAAAAACTCATTATGAGTCATTATCTGTGACTTTCAGAAACAAACACCTTGTTGCAGAAAATATTTATGGGGGCGGAGCAAAGGCTTGCAATTTATTTTTGCATCGAGAAGTAGCCTGTGAGCAAAAATAAAGTCTTAAACCACAAGCAACTAAGGGTTTATAAGAAATTATGCAAAATAACATTACCCACAGTCTTGACATGGGTCAGTCTACAAGAAAAGTCACATTTCCTCTTAATCCACTGCTTTTTGTCCCTCTTGGAGAAAAGAGAAAGCTGCTGGTGTTGAAGGATGGGGTTGAGATTAAGGAAGGATGCTGTTCCTGTCCCCTCTGCCTGATTTTCTTTTAGTTCTCAGATTCACTCACCTGAGATTTTGGTCTGCATTGGATAGGGATAGCGTGGTATGTGCAATGCTCAGGAAGTAAACTATGACACTCTTTAACCCTACAAGCCTTTCTCTTGTCCTAGATGATCATTAAATTACACAAAACAAAGCTAATTATTGCTCATGTCCAGCCACCGCAACAGACATATAAACAAAATACAAGAAGAAATACACTTATTTTGTGAAGTGTATTGTGACGTGCTCTTTTGAGCCTGATTCTCTTTTGGTATAATTTTCAAAGGGAGGCAGGAAAAATGCATGTGGTCAAGATGCCAGCTGTGTGTTGGGAAAACTGGGATGTGCCTATTTGCTTTCCCCTAAGTTCCTGGGCAGTATAGGGGAAATCAGGTAGGTCGCCCAGACACATTTCAGCCTGGAAGTGAAGTAATTCTCCTCCCAGGAACAGATACCTCAGCAAAAGGGAGGCTTCCTCACGGCATGGCAGAGAGCATTGCTAAGGGAGTCTCTGAAGCAAACCAGGCACAGTAACTTCTGCATTACGCATTGCGAGAGCACGCAATCTGAAAGAGGAAATGAAAACGCAGTCTCACAAGCACTTCCTATACGGATTTTGGTAAAACTCTCACACGTTATTTACTACGCCTTCATGAGTTTAGGCTTTAGCTCCTCAGGAACCCGACACTGTGGGTTAGATACCCCTCAGGTTTGGTAGTGAAGGGGCACAAACTGAAGCCTGATAAAGCAGAACCCAAAATCTAGCATAAGGCAGGTTCCTGACACATTGTGTGGGCAGAACTAGAGGCCTTCAGAAGGTGAGTCAAAGCCCTCCAGAGAAGCCTAAATGAAGGAACATGCTTGAAATGCCACCTCTTCTCTGTGGACTCTCTTGCCTCCTTCCTGAGTTGCTAAGTTCAACTTCCAACTCAGCTCAGCTTCCGAGCCCCTTCCCGTGCCATTGCCTCTTCCTCTTCAGTGACAGGCTTGCCCTGTGCTTCAGGTGGCACAGAGCAGCCCTCCAGCTACTCCTGCTCTGCAGGATTTGGCCCTGAGCTTCCTAGTTTCTGGGTGCAGTGCTGAGATGGACACAAGGTGCAAAGCAGACCTGGGCATGCCTGAGCAGCACAGACCTCTCAGGACCAAAACCGAAAACCCTGAGCTGTGCAAACAATGATCAAACACAGGTTTGGTGCCAAGATTTGGGTGCGGTCATCTCCATTCATCCAGCCTCTTTTGAAGACTGATGCAGCTCCGTGCATTAAACCCATACACTTCTGAGGGAAGGCAGGCAGAGATTTCCCCACTTTCTGGGACCACAGCTTTCTGCTATCTCAACTACAGAACTATTCTTTATTACTTTCATGTTTCCCCACTGTGTAGAGGTCACTAATTAGTTATTTTTCTGGGATAGTTCTCTTGAGATCAGGTTGTCAGGAACATGGGCTATGTGACAAAACATTTACATACTGAAAGTTTTCTTGGAATCTGATACACAGACTCTGGTGTCCTAACTTCCTAGCACAATTCCTCCCGTGATGTCAGCGCAGAACTAGTGGACAATATACAGGAAGTGATTTCCTCCTGAGTGACATGAAAACCTACATCCCCTTTCTTGAAAGTGAAGCGTGCTTAGGAACTGCACTGAGGGTTACTTTACTCTCCCGTCTCTCATTCTGAGAAAGCCTAGCATAAAAGCAGTCACGTCATATAATCATAGTATGTTTAAGGGTTAGAATGGACATTAAAGATCATCCAGTCCCAGCCTCCCAGGCCATGGGCAGAGACACCTCCCACGAGACCAGCCTGCTCCAGGCCTTATCCAACCTGGCTTTGAACAATGCCAGTCTTGGGGTGTCCAAGAGCCCCCCCAGCAACCTGTTCCAGTGTCTAACAACTAACTCAATCTTCTTCCCCCAAATCAGGTACAATTTCCAAAATACCCATCTGCCCTACTGAAGGAAAATGATTCTTTCTGTGTTTGCCTGGTTGCGGGGTTTTTTTTTTTGTTGGCACTCTGGGAGGACATTTCCACCTCAGGGAGCAGACCTGGGGCTAAGAGCAGACCTCTCTGACTGGCAGAAGCTGCTCCTGTCCCCCCTGCCTGATTTCCTTTTTGTTTTCAGATTCGCTCAGCTCTGATTTTGGTCTGCCTCACAGGGTGTGGTGTGTGCAATGCTCTGGAAGTAAATCTTGATACGGACTGTATTTAACGCTACAAGCCTTTCTCCTGTCCTAGATGATCATTATTAAAAAAAGCTAGTAGCTGCTTATGTCTAGCAATAGAGATATAAGCAACACATAAAATGTGTGCTTATTCTGTTTTAAAGGAGACTAATTTAATTTTTTTTCTTAAATTTTCAAAGGG